TCAGGCCCGCGCGGCCACCGCAGCGCGCGGGGGGCGACAGAGACCGAGACCCGGCTGGGTTCAGAGACGAAGAGCGGAGACCGTGCGAGAGACACGAGACACTGCGGTCCAGACAGAGATGGGGACTCGGGCTGGAAGTCAGGAGAGCAGAGACACTGGGACACAGCGCTAGAGAGACACCTCTACACACACACACACAAACCCGGGCTGAAACACCAGCGGGGAGAGAGAGAGAAATTCAGAGATAGAAATTGAGACTGGAGACCCAGAGCCTAGCACCGGGAGAGCGCCTGAGCCTACAGAGATAAGGAGAGAGGAAGGAAGAAGGGACACAGGGAGGCTCCCACGAAGCCAAGGAGGTTGCTCCAGGGATCAGAGACAAGAGATGGACCCCTTCATCAGCCTGTCCCACTCCAGGGCTCCGGACCATTTCTAGAGTCTGACCTAGCCTCAAAGGGGAAGAGATTTCTGTGCCCTTAATTCTAAAGGAACATGTAAAACATGCAAATCCCATCTGGGACTCCAGGCTGGAGCAGAGTTTGGGGAGGCCAGTAGCCTAGATGTGAGAAGTACCTGCTCCACCTTCCAAACCTGGGATGCAAGTGTTCTGGTGAACAGGCCTGGCGGGGGCTGGGGAGATTCCTGTTGTGGCTTCTGCATACAGGGATCCACAGTCCACCCCCAACAGGGGGCAGGAGATGGCCAATTGTCCTGGTGGTACCTGGGTGGTAGCCAGGTGGGAGATCCCGAAGAAAAGCAGTCCTCTCTCCAGCTCAGGGCTGTGGGCCCGACTGATATCTAACCAGCCTTTGGTGGCTCCCAAGCCAGTTACCTAGCTCCCTGCTGCTGGAAAGAGGTAGAGAGTAGCCACTCCTCAAGTGACTTTTCAACTATCACCAAGCCCTCCCCTGAGAAGATGCCCTCTGCTTCCTTGGTAAGGGCTAAAGCCCACTTACAATCTACAGCCAGGTATCTCCGATAGAGAGTTCTATCTTTGGATGGTGCTGATCGTGAGAATGTTTTCACTCATTTGAGCTGAATTCTGTGTCTTATATGACCCACCTATGGGTCCTTCTGATGGCTCGCCCAGCGAATTGAAGGCTCCCCAGGGCCCTGTCCAACCCCCTAGTGTGGCTTCACCAGCCATCATGGTTTGCCAGAGACTATCTGGATTTTAGCATTGAAAGTCCCACATCCCAGGAAGCTCTGGATCCCAGAACCAGACAACAGTGCTGACTCCAGTAGACAGAATTTCAGAAGCTCCAAGGTTGTGAAACCAGAGCTGTTCACCAGTATGTGCCATTGGTCACCAGCGGGGAGAGTGTGACTGGATCCCTGCAACCCTTCCCCATTAGCAGGGTGTGGTGGGGATGGGAATAGTGTGCTCAGGTTTTACACTCATCATGTCACTCAACCCTCAGGTGCTTCCCGAGGTGTATTGTATTATCCCCAGTTTACACACAGGGAAATAGAGGCTGAGAAAGTTTGGAGCTCATGGTCATGCAGGATTAGATTTCAGGCCTATGTTCTGTTCTGCCCTCACCCTTCTCTGCAAGTGGGGTACAGTCAGAGATTTGACCACCTGGATAATGTCCAGGTTTTGCCACCTGGTCTATGGGTGTGAGTGGTCCCCTCAAAGGGGACACACCTGGTCCTGAGCCCTTGGCTCACACAGTCTGGTAGGGGCCCTGATATTTCCTTTCACTTCCGTGTGTGTGTGTTGTGTGTGCGCGTGCGTGCGACGTGCACATGCACAGACACACACACACACACACATATCCTGCTCAGGGAAGATGCACCCTGAGGCGAGCACTGAGACCTCTCCCCGCTTCATTCCAATCACTACGAAACCTAGGGAGAGGGTAAGTGGAGCAGTTAAGGGGAAGTGCCAAGTTGATGGGAATTGCAGAAATCATCTAGCCAGACCCCTTTCCACATCCTCATTTCTCACATGGGAAGACAATGGGCCAGAGATAGAGGGGACTTGCCACATGACAAGAGACTAGATCCAGAGCTTCCCCTTGGTTAACTGTTGTCACAGCCCCAGCCCCAGCACCATCTGAAGTGCAGTCCCTTGCATGGATCTGGAATCTGATGGAGAGTGTGGGGCCCTGGCCCCCTCAGGGCAGCTTCTGAATGTGCTGGCTGTTAGCAGCTGCCAAGGAAGTCCTGGCCCAGCCTGCAGACAGAGCAAACACATCAGGACTCAAGGCCATTAGATTAACTGGTGGGAGTTAACTTCCTGCGTTGGTAGAATCACCCTTAACTGAAAAAAGGAATAACTAGCAATTTAGAGGCAACCTCAGGTGCCTGCAGAAGACAGAAGCAGAGTCCAGCAGGTGTTTCTTGAGCCTCCCAGTTCTGTGACAAGAATGACAGTGTCAGGGTTCCAGACAGATCCCTTTCTCTGGGACCTGCTGCCCAGGCCCTTTCCTCTGATCACAGTCTGTTCTGTCTCTACATCCAGAGCGGCCAGCTGCTCCCAGGCCCAGTCAAGCATTACGCCCAGAGAACTGGAAAAAAAAAAAAAAAGCGCAGAGGCCAGTGCTGCCTATTACCTGGGAGAATGTGTGCACAGATGTGGACAGATTAGAGAGCTCCAGGCAAATAGGAGTGGGAGCTGGCTGGTATGACTCTTCAACACAAGAGACCCAAGGCCAGTGGTTTCAAGCACTTGGAATGGTACGTGGTGGTCTTTCGGAGCCAACATGGCCCCACGGAAAGACAGTCATGCCAGGCTACACTCCCTTCCTTTTTGGACATGTTACGACTGGTGGAGTTAAGTATTG